TTTTCAGAATAAATAATTAGCTTAGATTGTAATGCTAGGGTTTTCAGTGATGGGTCATACCATTACAAATCTCAGTGGAAGCTGTAGAGGGGTGTCAGGGCTACATATTGATGGGAATTATAGTGGTGATACTGAAACAAACTCAGGTCCTGCTTTTATACAAAGACCTGAATTAACAAAGAGGTAAAGTTGTTATTAAAGGTAAATCAAGGTTTACTCAGATTTATGAATGCAGTTTCTTGAGCATGTATGATACATAGTTTGGTTACACTTGTGTACTCTGAGATTTTGGACAATAACAGTTTTCAGGAAATTACTTTATGATGAGTTGTACCCATTCAATTGTTTGCAGATGTTCCATGTATTATTTTGACATGTTTATTTTATAATTAAATAACGGGGACTGTGACCCCTCCCATCTATGACCCAATTTATTGGCTCATGGTTATGCTATAATCTTAACAAGGTCAGAAAGTATAAAACAGTTTTTAAATTTAAAGGGCGGCAGTCGTCACAATTTGTGTAAGAGAATACATACATTATTGTTAAAACTTTGGTTGTTATAGTCAAACTACTGTATGGAGACAGGATAAGGAATTAGAGGCTGATTATTGAAGAATATAGAACAAATGTTTTTAATGAGACAATTCATTGAGTTACAGAGGGCGCAAACGAGATTCGTTATAGCGAACAAGTTCTAGTAGAAAAGTCCCTATTGGGATGAGATATGAGGGCGCACAAATTAGGTTTTATAGATATAACAGTTTGAGGGCGCTCTTCATCTCTGCAGCCATTTTATGTATTTTTTTGTGCCGTCTTCCAGACAATTCATCTGAATCTATTTGATTCTTGTGTCATATGAGGTTGTTTCATGCAAATTTAACGTCTAGAGTGGTTCGATTATTATTACCCCTACATATTGGGGGCTTTTCTTTTGCCATTTTGTTCTGTTCTAGAATTCTGGTATAAAGATTGCAATACATGTGATGGGTGTCTTGTTCTCTGCATTACATCACAGCATAGTCAACATGATTCATATCTGCTGTCTACATGTTTGAGAACCCTGATTGGATTGGATGTATCTCAAAGGTACACCGAGCATCTAACTGGTAAGGCACACCATGAAATATTAGGTAGGGATGATGTCAAAACAGATGCCACAAAATTTTTGCAGTATTGTGTAAAGTATTTGGTGATGGTGAAAGTTTACCAAAACTACTCCCTCCAATGATTCTTTTCATACAAGCAGTACGAAGTTTGTGTCATGATGATAGACGCATACAATCCTACATGTATGTACAAGTAAAGATACTTATGTAACTGTACCAGAGGTCACCTCTGTGATCGTAGCTGAAAAGAAACCTGTGTTGATTCCAGCTTGTTTCTTTAGTGTCATTTAGGGGTCAGCAAATATTGAAAGACATAAAGCTCACAGAGGGATTGCAATTGGTGCAGCGTATGTGTCGATAGATGACAGTGGTAAAGTCCCAAGACAGATAGCCAATTTTAGTGACAACGACGTGTACCTCCAACCCTGCACTTCTGTTGGTACAACATAACCTATGTTTCTAGAACCAACTTAGTACATTGAATGTGAATGAAATTGCTGATAATAATGTAGCTTTAACAGTACTGAATCATATTGTCTCTAGGGTGACAGTTGGTGACATTGTAAGTATGAGCAAATTTATTTTAAACGGTTGATTGGTAAATATCACACTACATTTAATATGAACGATATTGGATCATGCGACCTGGCGAAGCAAAATGTAACAACTACTGATGATATATCAATTTTTATTCCAGGAGTACATTCACAAATTAGAACCAGGCATCATTCAAGAGACATCCAGTCCTATGCCTTACAGATTGTGGCAAACTGCGATTTTGTGTTGAATACCTTACCTTAAACATAAAAACACACATAGATGCATATCCTCTCCTCTATTTGAAAGACACTTTATATGTATTGGGCAGTATTTTTGTAGTCTAGACTTGGCCCATGGATTCAACCAACTATCTGTTGCTAAATAAGATATAGAAAAGACTGCATTTCACACTGGTACTGGAGGTCTATACGAGTACGACCGCTTGTCATTTGGACAATACGCAATGCACCTGCCACATTTATGCGCTTGATGGATAATGCATTTACTGATTTGATACTTCTTTACTTCCAGACACTTCTTGTGTTATGTTGCAAATTCGAGTCTCAAAGTTAAACTTGATAAATGTTATCTATTTGGCACAAAAGTGAATTATTTAGCTCATACGGTATCAAGTGGGGGCCTTGAATAGGTGTGTGCTGAGTGGGCCAGACTAGTAACAGACTGTGAACTGCATGGAAACCTTGGACACTCTGGGTATACATGTGTGTAATTATCCCAAGATATGCTAAGATAGCTGCGCCACTGGACAACTTGCCAAACAGTCTGGCGGAGTTGTCAAGAAACCAAATAATTGGATGAACAAAACAAATTAAATTCGTGTGACGTGTGGCATTTCTGCAAATTGTGTCTACGCCCATTTTAGGCTCCCCAAATTTTTATATTGTTTTATACTTGAGACAGATATTAATTTTCTTGGTTTAGGTGCAGAATTGTTGCAAAAACTTGGTTACCAGAAAGTTGTGTTAGCATATGCAGGGATATGGAATTATTCAAGTACAATGTATTAAGTTTCAGCTTTCAGTACTCGTACTGAGAATGTGAATTTGTGTTATTAATTGTGTTATTTACAAACAACTACAAAACTAGGAGCGACAGAAACACAATGAGCAGCAAATCGTACATGATTCAATAAATATAGTCCTGGTAAAAGTACGAACATTACAGACGCACTGAGCAGAAAGGCGAGTCATGGTAGTGAACCTGTATCTGTGAAACTGGAAGAGATGAGTGTTTTTCAGATCTTAGTATACCCCAAGAGGGCGCTGTCCGATGTTCGCGGAAGGTATGGGACGGTGAACGCCTGAAAATTTATATCGAAACTCAAAAACAGTAAAAAACGATCACCATGACCTCACTTAACCAGAAACGTTTGTTTTGCTTCGTTTTCTGCAATTTATTGGGAACATTTAGACAGAATTACAGTGCTAATCCCATTGAAGCGAA